TTTGCTATTTAATGCAATTCCATTCATAGATTTTTTGGGGGGACAGCTATATATTCCATTCTATCCCTATTTAAGATTTAATAAAATAAAAAAACAATTAAATAAATGAAACAGTGGTATGACTGACATAAGGGTGATCAGAATCTTAAATGACAGAGAAAACAGATCGCTGGTCAGGTCTAAATCGTAACACGTGCTGTTATCTCTCAGCGAGATATCTCCCATTCTGCTAGCGCCCTCTTTAGCGGTCCTGTGATCATTCATTCATGACAAATTAAACATTTAGATAACACCAAGGTAATAAATAGCGGGTGAGAAATGAGTGTGACAGGCCAGCTCCCCATACAGTCAGACCACCTCCTCCGTAAACAGCACGAAACCCAGGAGCATGAGAATCACGCGACCTGGTGCAAACGTGAAAGAGACTATTGGGATAAACACGGCCTGGTTTGGACCGCAATAAAAGACCCCTAATGGTGCTTTGACTATCTACGAGCGGAACAAACAAAACACAAGCTTTTATTCTCGGAGTTCATAAAAACCATTTCATGGTTTTCTGTAATTTTGACTATCTACGAGCGTAACAAACAAACACAAGCTTTTATTCTCGGAGTTCATAAAAACCATTTCATGGTTTTCTGTAAGCACCACCAAAGTCATTTTATGGTACATTTTGACCTTTGCTGTTGCTTAAACATGCTCTGTGATGTGGGTTGCAAAGCAGGATACTGATGATTATTCATTGTGAGTAATCAGGTCGACAAAACTCCAGCAAATGTCAACACATACACTCAATACATCAGGATCAAGGACAAACGGAAGCTAATAGCAGCAACACTTCTCAGAATATTACTTCGCACTGATTGCTTGGCTCTCCTTCTCCTTGACCCTGCTTTCAAAGGATGAGATTTTAAAAATAACCTCTGTCAACCCGCATGTTGAAAAAGTCATTGTGAATTACATTTTCGTCATGTAATTCATGTAACATGACACTAGATGTGACTTATGTGTCTTCTGCATCGAGCTCTTTACCTCTGACCTTAAAGCTCGTGCACACCGGAACAGGGTCAGCGGGGTCACCTTTCACACACGCCACCAAATCCCTGGCCTGCTGGAGCTAGTTTGGAGGTATAATATAACATATAATTGGTTTCCAATTATATTTGAGCTGCAGTCAGTAATCATCCGGGCTGGTAACATGTAACTAAAGAGTTTGAAGATAACATCAGCATTTATGTCTAGTGTAATGGAATGTTAATCTTTGTAAAAACAATTTGTGAATACAAGTACTAAATTCACACTGTTCGTATCTGATGTCTAGATTTTCAGCAGAAACAGTCTGGCCTTTTGGCCCAGTGTGTCAGACATAAGACCTCTGCCACCTGAGCATAAGAAAACAGTTGTTGTTTGGTTTCAGACGCAGCTTAAATATACCACTTCGGTGATTAAAAAAGCAAAAGCAAACATTTGTGCTCTCAAGTCCCTAAAGGCCATTCATTATAAGAGGTTGTTTGGCTAAAGGATAAACATGCGAATGTGTGTGTGGATTAAGAATGAATGTATTATTAGAGCGAGCATTAGTGTATTGTTGAGTATCAAAGTAACTTTAAGTCTAAAGTTAGTTTGTTTAAAGTTAGTTAGTTTAAGTGAGCGTTAGATGACATCAAAATTGTATATCTGCCAAAATGAATGAATGAATGAATAAATAAATAAAAACCCTGATAACTTATATGTTGCCAATATATCATGTATCCCTTTAAAATTTAAAATCAGAAATAAAATACAACAACGTCCTTAAGCCTTAAAAAAATAAAAAAAATAAACTGCATTTTTCACACAATTACATCTAATGTGACAGAAAATTCTTAAGCTGGATGGTTCTACTGCTATGCATTTGTAAGGATTCAGATGTTTTCTGCAAACAATGAAAGCAATTATGGGCGAGAAGGTAGGAAGATGCTGTATATCACAGATATCGACAAACACGTGTAGCAGATGCAGATTATGCGTGATGCACATGGCAGCTGATAAAAATGAACACACACACAAACATCCCCTAGACCAGTTTGAAGTACAAAATATGACCTTGATTACATAAACTACACCTGCAAAACACTCGGACAATTGCAATACCACCATATTGTGTCAGTCAGTCAGTCACTATCGCAATCTTCCTTAATTTTATTGCCAAATCCTTGCTGATTGCCACCGTTAGGTCAAAGGTCAAATGAATTTCGAGATCCTTTCTGGGAGAGCAACATCACAGCATGTCGGAGAGCTGAATGTTTATTGCTCGGACCTTCTTAAGGGGCTTCAGCGAATAAGGGCCAATGTGCTGAGAGACATGTTTATGACAGCAGTGAATGAGGTTTGTGTTATGCTGAATCTCTCGAGCTGCCATTCAAAACTGTTCAAAAGAGGAAGATGGAAAAATTGAAGTATGAAACATGTTTGTGTGAGAATGATTGAAATTAAGAAGTGAAAAGTGTGTGAACTTACGTGGATGGTTGGATTCCGAGGTGTTTTTGTGTTTATGCTAGTAATTTATTTATTCTCCCTCTTTCTAGAAAGCGCTCCGCTGAGATCACGGTGTGAAAGGACACAGTTTTAAGTGCTGAGGGGGAGAGGGACTCAGGCACAATGGAATGCCACTGCTACTCCTGCCAAGAACACTTTTCCCATGTGCCCGCGAGCCAAGACTTCCCCCAACAGCCAAGAATAGCACTGCTGTCCTCGCACACTCACCAAACTCTCTCACACACACTAGGCAAACGCAAGGCTGGGTTCTGCAGCACCTGAACTTCAAAAGGGTCATGTGTGTAAGACACACTCCTGACAAGAAAACATTAAAATGACAACCAAAGGTTCCTAATAGTGGAAAAAAGCTTCTTTAGATTACTGCAGTGCTCTTCACACTAAAAAACTGTTCACTGAAAGGTTTTTTGGGGAACCAAAAATGGCATCACTGTGAAAGCACTTATTTTTAAGAGTGTAGGGAAATGAAGATGACTAGCTTAAAGGGACAGTTCACCCAAAATCCTTTATTAACTCTTTTGTCGTTCCAAACCTGTATGACTGACTTTCTTCTGTGGAACATCAAAGAAGATATTTTGAAAAAATGTGACTTCTTTTGTCCATACAATGAAAGTCAATGGGGTCCAAAGAGAAGAAATACAGTACATATAAGTTTGGAATGACATTGGGATCAGTATCGACTATCCCTTTAATGTTTTCATAAGCACATCATGCTTTGATCTTGCAGATCTTTCATATTTTTATAATGACATAACATGCATCTAAATGGACTTTGATGCATTCCAATGCACTCACAACATCAATTTGTCATCCATTTGGGCTCATTTAAAAAAAAAATGTCTTTTGAGAACTAACCAACAGGAAAAACACATCGCCGAAACCCACCTTTGCCATATTAACACTTAACAGAAGATTAGGACATTCAGAACGCATTAGGAAGTGCAGCAGCATGAGTGTGATGAATTGCTATGCTTCACCACACGCACTAAGAGGCCAGTGACCTTTAACTGGAGAAGAGCTTTTACTCTAAAAGCCCATGATTGGTTAGAGGAGCCACTGGCATAGTAGAGCTGTCTGAGATGAAAAACAGAGTGAGCGAGACATAGAGAAACACAGACAGAAGTTTCCATTAATTACCCTCAAAATGAGCTCTTATCAAGCCTTTCATAGGCCTGCCTGCGAGCTAGCGTTGCCTGTGTTACAATTTGTCTCTAGTTCCCTGAGTTTTTGAGTATGCACCAATATATTGGCCAGACTAATTAATCACCTCATATTTGGCCAGTTTTAGACTATAAACTGCATCTGTTGCTGATACATTTTGGTATTTGCCCTTGTGTCAGTTTCGATATCTACCATCAGCCTTGTCATTGATTAATGGACTAATTTAATACAACTTTTTATTCTATTATAAGCCTATCACTTGAAGCAAAAAACGGAACTGAAAAATTAAAACGAATTGGTATGTTTTAACTCAAGCTGCATGAACTCCACAAATTTTTGTAAAACATGATGGTCATATTACCCAGAATTCTATCCACTGTATCATAACTTGGTCAAAATCCTCAAACTTTCTGTTTATGTGAAGGCTTAAATGTAAAGCAATGGGCAAAAAAGATGTCCACTTGCTTGTGCATGGTTCTAGGGGCAGTTTACACCTGAACATTGAACAAAATGTGTCTGTGATACATGTATTCCACATTTACAGTCTTTCGCTTCATTTAAAAATATTAATACTAATACAATTATAATAATACTAATACCAATAATATGTACATATATATATATATATATATCATATATATATATAAACAACAGCACTACCATTTCAAAATTATACTTCAAATCCTTTGCACCACAATGTATATTACACCAGCAGGAGGCACTTAAGGGATTAATTCACAAATCAGAAAAAAAAAGCACAAAAACAACAGAAAAAATAATTTTATGCACATAATGCAATGCACTTAAACTAGAATAGACTGTGCCTACACTTGAGAACATGGGCCTGTTCACATACACACATATCTCATATGAACACATGTATTATTTGTTAATGAGACACTTAACCGCCGTCTACGAACGACAGTGTGTGAGCATGCTACAGTAAACCTGCATGTTACAGTACGCCTGCGACCAACCGTGCTTCAAGCATGAATCATTAAACCAGTGTTGTCCCAAGAGGCTTGCGCTAGCTAGCTTTTTCCTGGAGGTGTTTTACGTGAAAGCACGGCTTTCAGTCCCAGCTGTGTTGTTTGGTAAACAGCTCTGTTGCTAGGCAGACCTGTATTATTGCTCCACCAATCAGGGCCTGATTTGACGGGTGAGTAGGACACAGCTTAAGCAAGAGTTATTTTTACAATTGCGCTCCAGATAATGCCTCGGCAGGAGTAGTAAAATGCAGAATTAAAAGTCACTGCTATCAAAAGGCATACGTGTGTGTGTGTGCGTGAGTCCTTTTGTCGTACCTCATTCAGTTGCCTCCGGTGTTTCAGTGAGTGTTGTGGCCCATTGAAGTCGTTACAATCCCAACGCGACTCGTAGTCTCAGTGCAGGCCTCCAGCACAGCCTGTGGACACACACAAACACACACACACATATTACTCAGTAATACAGAGCCAGCAGTCTGTACAGTCACAAACAGGACACCTTCCTACCCTTGAATTCCCGTCCTGTCCTGAGGCCGTGAACTAAGCGCAGAGCGAACATGCTCCACATACAGATGCACTCAGGTGCATTTAGTCTAGTAGTCACTCTCATACTACTGCAACTCTGTCATCTTGCAGGTCCACTCCCTTTAGACGCTCACAACACAGAACGGACCGCTATGGAAACCGAGTAACAAGACAACACAAAGGCGGAGGTGTGGGTGTACAGTGAGTGTGCTCTTTAAATAAAGACGGTCCTCATAAGAGCTGCTCTAAGATCAGCGTCGAGCTCGCGAGCGCGTAGAACGAACCGTAGCTGCTGCTAGACTTTGGTTTCTTTCAGTAACCACCTGCGGTATTCCATAAGGCATAAAGCGGGAATGACATCACATCCCTCAACTCCCAGAAGCACAGATCTTAGATCAGTATTCAGGAGTAGGGCTCTGCAGCACAGATTGCAGATTGCAGCAAGGAAGCTGTGTATCATTTATCTCTGGGGCATTACGTGAGAAATAAACTGTTGCCTTCAGAGGATTAGATAGCAGCAATCTATTTCCAAGTGACATCCCCTCTGTTTATGTAGCATTTGTGTTGCAACTAGGGATGTGCAAAAATATTTTTAAAAGTTGACTAGTCAACTAATCTCTTGTAACTGGAAGCCTTGTATAAAAGGCTGATTTCAGGTTCACCTCAGACTAATTTCTAGCATTTCTTAGCAATCACAAACATCAAAAAAGTGCCAGATAATGCTCTAATGAATGGAAAAAAGTAGGGGTCTCAAGATGTTTTTTTTTTCTTTAAAGATGGACTGTTTTTAACTAGACATGTATTTTAGTCCACGTGTGGTAGCTAGCTTTGAGATTATATACTGTACACAGTAGTTTAAACCTGAATGCTGACCAAAATCACTTTTAGCAGATATATGCATTTCAAATTTACAATCTTTCTCTCCACTTTTTCACCACATACTAGCTACTACTACTACTACTACTAAATGTAAAAAAAAAATATATATATATATATATATATTTAAAATAATTAAATAAATTATACATTTATTTAAATATAATACATAATTTATAATATATTTTATTAAGATACATGCATTTCAAAATTAAGACTTCAATAAAACTAAAATAAAAATGTAAAATAAGTAAACATATATATATTAAATATCGATTTAATAACTATAGATCTATATATTTGTTTATATAATGTATTAAGACATAATTTATCATATATTTATTAGATATATGCATTTCAAAATTCAATCTTTCTCTACACGTTTTCACCACATAATAATAATAATAATAATAATAATAAAGTAATTTAAAAAAATCAAATAATTACAAATATATAAAATTATTTAAATAAATATTTATTTAAATATAATTTATTTATACATAATTTATAATATATTTCATCAGATATATGCATTTAAAATTAAATCTTTCTCTACATTTTAATGGCACAAAAGAATAACAATACTAATAATAATTACAATAAGAAACCAAAAAATAAATATAAAATAAAAAATAAAACAATAATTATATAATTCTATACTTTTATTATATGCATGCGTTGTCAAATTTACAGTCTTTAGCTACACTTTTATGCCACAAGATGCCCATTGTCACCCATCCCCTAGCTGCACCAAGGAAGCAGGTTTTATGGCTTGAGTGAGTTGTAATGTTAATGAGGAAGGTCATGGTTTCATGTCAATGTTATTTTGTGCTTTCTTTGCGTTAGTGTTGTCAGAAGTACCAATGTTAATACCAGTCGGTACTGAAATGTAAAAAATGTGAGGATAGCAGCATTTCCCGCTAGCATTTTGAGCGCTGTTGAGAAGATTCTTAAACACCTCTGATTGGTCATTGTGTTTACGTGCTCAACAAGATATATCTGTGATTGGCTACAATGATCATCGCTTCTCGCTCTTCACTAAGCGTGCTGATCATTGTAGCCAATCATATCTGTTAAGCACGAGAACACAATGGCCAATCAGAGGTGTTTGAGAATTCGCACAACAGCTCTCAAAATGCTAGTGGGAAATGTTGGTATCGTCACATTTTTTTAATTTCAGTACCAACTGGTACCGACATTGGTACTTTTGACAACACTACTTTGTGGTGATTAACAAGTACACACTTCTGCCATATCATCCAATTCTGCAGATTAATTATCCTCTGTACTGCTTTGGCAACATTGTATTTTGGCAGTCGTGCTGATAAAGCATCATTGATGACAGAGATAGAGCGAGAGAGAGAGAGAGAGAGAGAGAGAGAGAGAGAGAGAGACCAGACAGATGGTCACAGTGGGTGGGTGCAGTAAAACTTGTGACAACAGCCATTAGTGCTACAGGAGTCTGAGACAGAGGACAGATAGTGGGATGTGTGAACATGTGAACGAGGGAGAGAACGAGTGAGAAACCTAAACGCAACAGAGGAGAAAACCAAGACATAAGTGCTATAGACAGTCAACACAACATTATATGTAGACATACAGACCATGCTATAGCATCAAAACATGCCACTTTGCTCTGTCTTCTAGTTTCCTATGTGCGTGAGAAGCTCTGAAATACATACATCATATGTGGTCTTATTGTAGATGATTCATCAGTGTGTGTTATTTTTAAAAAGATAAATTTTTTGCTACTGCATGTTCAGAATAGCACACTACAATAATACTCAAATATACTATGTTCAGTATAGTATGCAGCAATGCATGTATGTATGTCTGGAATCTAATGTTTTGTGCATAACTGAGATTGTTGTGGTGGAATTACACTGTTGTAGTACTAGTACTCACTAAAACAAACTGATTTAAAGAGGATCCAGATGCGGTTAATTGTCAATACCATTGCACTAAAATTGAACATACTGTATAGCAGATTTGACAGCTTGAATATCTTACCTCAAAATGTCTCTATTCCACAACTCAGATGAGCTTCAGAGCGCTGCTACGAGCACACCGTGAATGATCAATCTAACCCAGAGTCATGAGGAGATCTGCATTACTACAGTGAGAAAATTATTACACCAGGTGCTGTTCATCAATAGGTAACCAAGCATGATACTAATTCCAATGAATCTATTTTGAATTTCCAGAAATCAGAGGTTAAAACAAAATCCTATGGCTGCATGGTTATATCAGATCTATTCAGCTGTTTTAGTATGTGAAAAAGACATCTTCAAACACTATTACTGTCACTTTAATGCCTTTTTCTTATTTCATGTGTCACATGCTTGTGGCTGTGGTCACAAGTCATAAACAGCAATGGGGTAATACTGCAAGCTCAGTCTTTTTATGAGACTCAGCTCGCACTGCCAGCATCATTTAAACATTTCCTTGAATGTCACTTCCCTCAAAGTTACAATCAGCTCTAGCTCTAGAAGGTCTATCTGAGGCCGTGGTGTTGGGTAAACAAGACTGCCAGGATCACTCAGGTCAGTGTTTAAGGTGACATGTATGTGTCGAATGAGAAAAAAGAACAAGATGGTGTACTTACAGCTTCTACTACTTTTGCAATTGTCAGCCAAACCTTGACTTATTTGGTTTGATTTAACACATGTAATTTCTACTGTACCATTGTGGATTGTACCATACTTCTAAGAAATGACATATTGCTTACTTTGTACAATGTGTTTCAGAGGTGACATACTGCCTGACAGATGGACAGACATACCGGAATGAGAATTTTTTGTTACCATTTTCCCACAGAAGTCCTTTTAAACCTCTGTGAAATATCTTTGCACCTCAGGCCAGCAATGTTTCATCCTCTATCGAGAGTATCAATGTACATCTGGATCTCTGAGACTGTTAACATTGATAACCAAACCTAAAACAAAGACCAGAAATAGATATAGGAAGTGACACTAAGTGGAAACGAATTTTTTCAATTCCACATGTTTTTGCCACTAGCAGAAATGAAATGAAGTTGCTGTATCTTCTCTGTTATCACTCACCAGATTTCTGTTAGAGTCTGTTAGGGATCAGATCACATCAGCAGCAATGAACGCATACCTGCTGTTTGCACTTTACTAAAATTGCACATTTCAGCAACAAGCCTGTATATTAAACTTCACTATAAACAACTCATATTGCACTATAGACCAATTTGGAGTAGACGTCACAGTTACGTCACTTGCAGCTACGCGCGCATTGTGGTGGCAGAAAAACATTGGGAACAAGTGGAGGGAAACGAGTAAAATCCATGGAATAAGAGAAAAAAATGTATTGTTGTGCCCTTGGATGTCACAATCGGAATGCAAATCATTTTTATCGAATACTGTCGTCAAAGACGCCATTTGAAGCTAAACGCAGACGTTTAAACGGACAGACTAAGGATGAAACCTGCTGTGATTACCCTAGTTTTAAAGCATAAATTTGATTTAAACAATAGGTCTACATAATATTCACATATGCAGTTCATAGGGGATGTATTGTATTAGCTCTGCAGTTACAGCATGAAATAGCCTACTATTTAAAACTATAACATTTACCTTTTATCTCACAATTCTGACTTTTTTTATTGCAAATGCAAGTTTATATCTCTTAGTTCGGACTTTATGACTCAATTTAACTCAACAATTGCAAGTTTGTTAAATCTGAGGGGGAAAAAAGCCAGAAGTGTGGAATTATAAACTCAAGATTTTGAGCCAAGGGGAAAAGAGAGAATGACAAGTCAACTGTTCTTATCAGAATTGTGAAATATAATCTCAGAATTGCGAGAAAAAAGTCTGAATTTTGAAATATAAACTCAGAATTACCTTTTTTTATTCTTTTATTCCATGGCTTCCGTAGACTGCTACTATAACACTCTCATTTTTTGCCACCAGATCGACTCCGCCCACAAAAAAACATCATCACTGTTTGCAAACACCAAATTGGTCTATTTGTGCTACAGACATGAATAAAACCT